ATAATATTAAATGTTATATAGCAAACTCTTAGTTATCAGAACCATTAGTCAGGGTGGTATTATAAATTAAGATCCTAATTAAGATCCTTTTAATCAAGTCCATCTTTTGGCAGACAGCACCCATCAAAAACAAATTCACTTTACATTACATTACATTACATTACATTACATTACATTACACACCACAGCACAACTTTTAGGACAGTCTCCACCATTCACAAAATCCATGCACATGCACAGAAAAGCCATTTGAAGCATCACCTTTAGATAGCAGGTTAACAGCCCCAACTGCGCCACAAGACTGCATCTTATAGTTCCCTTTGATCAGTTATTGAGCTCAGCTTCTGATGTTAAATCTTCATTTTTAGTAAGCAGATTAGAAAGGAAAAGATTAGGTGAGAGAATGAAATACAGAAAATAGTGAATGCTGGTCAAACAGAACAGAAGCAGGTTTAGAGTTTTCAAAACATAATGCATTTAAATTCCTGCCTGATTTCATAGAAACAACCAACATCTGAGAATCTAGATAAAAAGAAAAACAAGAAAACTATTTAAATGAGAGCATAGTTCATCCTTCGTAAGAATGTCTGGGTAATAATATTCTTTCGTAAAATTATAAAAATTAATATGAAGAGAAGGCAAATACTAATGGAGAGGTTGTAAAACTTACTCTTTTCTTGGTGATTACAGATTTCTCTTAATTACTTCTATTATAATTTCTGTTGTTATTTAAATTTAAAAAAATCATTTTACATGTCAACTCTACCATAAGCAAACAAGTTTCTTAAGGACATTCAATCAACAAGTGTTTATTGAGCAACTACTATGTATCAGGTACCATGTGAGATACAAAAATAGAGCAATGACAAATAAAACGGCACAGGAGCTATACCTTACTCATCTTTGTATCTCTTCAGTGAATAGGATGGAGAAAGCACTCAAATGTGAACTAAAATATAATATATATATGTATATTGCATTTATTTTCAGACAGAGCAGGAGGGAGAGAGGGGGGAAGAGAGAGAGAGAGAGAAACATTGATGTGAGAGAGATACATCGACTGGTTGCCACCCACACGACCCCAACTGGGGCCGGAGACAACTGCAACCGAGGTACATGCCCTTCGCGGGAACCGAACCTGGGTCTCTCTGGTCTGCGGGCAGACACTCTAACCTCTGAGCCAAACTGGCCAGGGCAAAATATAATATTATTTTATCCAATCAGAGCTGAGTATTTACACCTCAATATGACACACCACTGGAATAGTATAGAACATGCAGTACCAATTTTGAACTTCTCTAGAAAATGGTTCAGAAATACCAATTTGCCTTCAAATTATGTGCCATTATGTTTGACATTATAAGCACATACTGAAGAGAGGCCAGTACAGATAGAAGAATATCTTGTCTAAGAATGGTTAAAAGGGTACACCAGGCAGTTTACTAGTCTGAGACTTCCTATTTTAAGTCTGCCTCCTTTTAAATTCTTGTTAATTAGAATTACTTTTCTAAGTTATTGCAAAGATATACAATTTTAATAAGGATATGTACTATTTTGCTTTTAGGATTCAAATAGTAGCAAGCTAACATGACATTTATCCACAATTTTAAAGTTTAATCCTGGTAGTCTGTTTTTAAAGCCTAGTAATCTTTTAAAAAAATTAGCTGAAGTTAAAATTCCTTTCTAATACAAGGCTCTGTTAAGTAAAAATATTTCCTTGTCTTATTTTTTAAAAACACACACAAAAAAACCCCCAAGATTTGATGACCTGGCTTCAGTGACTACTACTGAACACACATAAAAAAATCTCAAAGAACAAATTTACTCAAGACATTTTCTATATAGCAATACATCTAACAACAGCAACAACAAAAAAGTTCATTATTTTCTTGCCAAAGTCAAACAATGTAGGATACAGTTAAAAGCTAGGGCTCTGCCTGGTTTGAATCTCAGCTCTTCTGCTTACTAGTGTAGTCTCTTTGTACCTGTTTCCCCAAATGTAAAATGGAGATAATAAGAGAATCTATCTCCTATTAAAGTTACCATGGGAATTACACTTAACGTGCTCAGAATAGTAAGAGCCTAAATTAACATTATAGGCCCACAACTCTTGTCCAAACCCTTGTATGTGAAACATTTTGAGCAGTACCACATAATCAAATACATCAATATTTCTGTAGTGAAACAAACTGACATATTAAGTGTGATAAAGATTATAAATAGCTTCAGTTCAGGTTACATGTTTTGGCTTAATGAGTTGTGGCACTACATTATGAAAACAAACAAAAACTTAAACCTCTGGCTTTCAGAGTCTTTTCGATTTCTGAATGGCAGATAAGCAACTGTGGACCCTAGTTGTTATTACTAATAACAGAATTAGTACTAGCCTTATACAAAGAAGACTAAAATCCTATATTGGCCTTTGAGAAGCTCATGTTAAGGCTGTTTATATGAAAAGCCTAAATGGACACCAGCAGATCAAACTGGAAAGATCAAAACACTGGCAGAAATGACATCAGATACAGCTGAAGATAAAAATGATATAAAGGACTCAATAATATAAAGAAAAGATAGGTGGAAGGAAGGCAATTACAATCAGACATTTCTAACTCTCTCTTCTTCAGAGAAAAACTGTCCCTTGATTCCATCTCTTAAGAAGTGCCTTCTCTTGACCCTTTGAGAAAGGGTTCTGCTGAGGTCAGAGGTGAAAAATTGCTTCAGGACCATACTCCACCTTCTCTTTCACAAGTGTCCAAGAAAATCTTGCCCATGCTTAGCTGGGATACACAAAGAGAAATAAAATGAATACTTCTGTGGTTTCATTTCCCACTTTCCATGATATTAGACCATCTTAGGATTCACTGCTCTTCCTGTTCAACCCTTGACTCAGAACTGATTTTGCTACAGATTCCAGGGAGGACTTCTTCCTCCTTGCTCTTCTCTTAATATCTAATCTCAAGGAAATTAATTTACTTTTTCTCCTCTGTACTCTTCCAAGAGGGTACACAGAACACAGGAGAAAAGGACAAGTTTGCAAAACATAGTTAACTGTTTGGATCAAAAAGTCTGTGCATTTCTAACTTGTTGGCTTACAATAATCTGCTAAACCCTGACTAACAGTCATAGTTATTGAAACTCTCTCTCTCCCTGCCTCCCCACCCTCCCTCCCACTCTATCTAAAAAATCAATGGAGCCCTAGCCGGTTTTGCTCAGTGGTCAGAGCATTGGACCTTGGACCAGAGAACCCCAGGTTTGGTTCCCACTAAGGGAACCTTGGTTGCAGTTTGTCCCCGGCCCCGGATGGGGTCGTGTGGGTGGCAGCCACTCAGTGTGTCTCTCTCACATCGATGTTTCTCTCTCTCTCTCTTCCTCTCTCTCTCCCTCCCACTTTATCTGAAGATAAATGCAAAAATGTCCTCGAGTGAGGCTTAAAAAACGAAAAGAAAAAAAAAGAATAGGAAGCCAATGGACGAGACTAGATAGAAGACTGTCAAATCTTAACTTCTTGTGCCTAAAACAACACTAATCAACAAGCAACTTTATTTTCTCTAGTAGAAATGGCACAGAGAATGTTATCACATGAAAACACTTAACAGAAATTATGACAATATAATAAAAGTTCCCCCATTCCTAACTCCTTTGGAGTAAAAATGCTGAGAATCTGTAAAACTTTGTATCCCATTCTTGGTTTACCACACCAGCTGAGATTACTAGGTGGAAATACGAATGCTTATGAAGCCCTTAAAAAGTGAATATTCTCAGCAGTAATGATATTTAATCTCTAGACACTGTCCTTTCAACTAAGGGTAAAGTTCAAAGTTGGTTTGTTAATTACTTTTTACAACAAAATGAGCTCCTTTTAACAGAAGGCAAGACAATGATTAATTGCCTTAGTCAAAACCTCATCATGGCCTGAATAATACAATATTTGTCAACACCATGGAGTTTGGTTTACCCTAGAATAAGTTGAAAATTTAAATATTCAAATAGAATCACCAAGAAGAATGGATTCCTTTCTGTCAAGCATAATCTCATACACTACATACAAACAGTTTAAAGACTCATTTTCTAGTTTACTAGAGATCTCTAATCTTCAGAGTCTTTTCTGATTTCCCCTTCCTTGTGTTTGACATATAATCAGTTAATTTAACATGAATTCTGACTTACATTTTTCTCTCTAATCTCAATAAGGTCTTACTTCACAGGCCTAGATTACAAAAGGTTTATAACTAGTCTTCTGGTATGTAGCTATATAGACCACTCCAAACCATCATCAACTCCTTAGTCTGGCATTCAAGTTATTCTACTGCCTACTTATGTATTATTTTCCACTTCTTATCTATATAAATCATGTAGCTCAGTAAGTCAAGTTTCTCTGTAATTAAATCTTCCATAGGAAATGCTCTCCCAGTTCTTCCATGTCCATCTAAATCCTTCCAGTCACTCAGAGCCCAATTCAAGTCTTAACCTTTCCTATAAGATGTTCTCCAAATCAACCTTTATCAGTTCTGTACCCTTAGCCTTAGTTGATATCACATGATCTAGCACTAGATTTATATATTTTTTACCTTTTGCTAGTCTTCCTCATATATCCAACCACATAGTAAGTCTTTTGAAGACAAGATCCAAGTCCTCTACTCCCCGGCTATCCCTTCACGTGCCTACCACGGAATATATATTTTGTTAATACTCTTTGTTTGAAAGGAAAAGACACTATTTCCATCCTGCTCTGTATTATCCAGATATATATTTCCCAATCTTTTTGTGTATTTCTGAAAAATGAAATTGGAACTTGATCTAAGAATTAATCAAATTTAAGCCATTATTTTCAGTGAATCTGCCCATTTACACAAAAAAACTTGATCTTCTTGAAGGAGAAATAAAGCTTAAGTTTATCTAACAAAGTTACTTATTTAGGCCCAGTCACACTTAATACCTTATTAGGGGGATATGTTTTCATTTTAAATTTATTTTTAAAAGGTCCTGATTTATCAACTCACCTATTACATGGACAGACACAAAGGCCACAGCACTTGTTGAGTTCTGTTAAAGTCTTCTCTGCCTCTCTCATGTCTTTATTTATTTGGTCCATGCCTTCTTCTATGCGGTTTAGTTGTTCTAAGAATAAGTTGTGGAAGTTACATTTTGTGTTACATTCATAGTGCTAACTATTACTATAAAATAGCAAACTTCAACCTTGAATTCAACAGTAACATACTATAGTGACTGTAACAGTGCCAGGAGGTTTTACATACCGTCTAACATAAAAACAATCTTTCACATACTGATCCTGAGGCACCTGGCCTCTTACTGCAGAAAGATTTGTTCTAAAGAAATTTGTATAATAGGAGTATGTGAGGGTTTGTTTAGAGATTACTCTTATAACCAAATTAAGTATGCTGTGACTAGACTTTTCAGCATTTCTATCCTTGAATGGGCTCAAAACATGAGAGCTGTCATAAGACCAGCAAAAACTAGACCTAATTACTCAAGGCCAACTCAAACGGAATGTTTCTAAGCTCACCTTAATCTAGACTTATTTAAGGACTTAACTTGATTTCTGAAAATCCAAAAATATCACAATGTCTAGTGTACCTATGCCCAATGCATACAATAAATGCTGCTACCTAACAAATAACTGGTATACAACTGGACATTGTTGCCCCACCTTTAATTAGCAATAAACATAATATAATTCAAATCAGAAGAAAAGAAGTAAATATATCACTCTTATCTTACAAAGGGAAGGCACTTCCAAAGGCTTAATTTTATATATGGCTGACTTAAAGGGCTTTCTGGTATCGTAACGTAAGCAAAATCAAAAGTTTCTGCCGATAACTTCAACTTACCCCCTTGTTCATCCAGCATAGTGATAGTCTTGATTCCTGCATCCTGAGACTAAAAGAAGGAAAAAAAGCCGATAGCACAACAAAACATAGCAAAAATAACAGAAACAAAAACTATAAGGCCTGACAAATAACAGGAGAGAATAACTTAGAAACCTAAGTTCTTATTGGAGTACAACCACAGAGAACATTAATATCCTCAAACCAACACACTTTAACATACTAACTGCCTTCCACCCCCAAAATAATTCAATCACAAACTCATGGTGCACTGATCTTCCCTGTCATATTCCAATATTGTCAATGGGGGAAAAAGTCCCATTAGTGTGTGGTTTGACAATTTCAACAATTGCTGGTATCAAATAATAAAGCTTATTGATACAATGACCTTAACTTTTAACACCAATTCTAACTTATGCTATCAGGATCCCTCCTATACCATTTCTGTATTTAACCTGATAATTAAACATTTTCTTACCTCAATGGCTAAACCCAGGATTCTTCTTGTACTTTCCAGAGACTGGGGAAAAAACATAAGAATGTTAGCACTCTAAAACATGTAGAAAAAAAGAAAAATCTGACCACAGGCCATACACATGATGCTACTCTATTTTTAAAGACTGCCAGCACATCAATTCCTCCCTTTAAAACAAACAAACAAAAAAGTTGATGATTATAATTTTAGTTTTCTTCCTACCAGTGGCTCCTTAAGAAAAAATATGGAGGGAAAAGTTAATGGGATTTATAAAATTTTAATGTAGACAGAAATCTAGGTATATTACACAAATATTAGAAAGTTTTGTTAAAACTAAATGTCTGGAATTCCTCAAGTCTAGAGTATGTTTGTTGAAGTAACTGGTAAGTAATAATTACCTTTAAAAAATCATATATAGTCAGCCCTTGTTTACCGCGGTTAATCAGTTCCAGACTCTGCTGCGATAAATGAATTTCGCGAAGTAGGATTCTTTATCTACTATACAGTCATCCCTTGCCATTTCGCACTTGGATTTTGGTGGCTTCACTTACCAATAGAGTGAAGTCCCAAAAGTCGAAGCGTGAAGTGGGGAGGGATGATTGTAAACTGTTTCCCCTTACTCAGTTTTTTGGTAAAAAGAAAAAATTAGGAGCTAGTAATGGCACTCTAGGGCGAATGCATTCTTTGGGATAAAGGGACTTGGAAGAGGTCAAAATGGTCTTCTAAAAAGGTCCTTTCATTCCCCACTGTGAAAACAAAAAGAAAATTAATTACTTATTCCAAGTAAAACGTTTACCTCATCAGTAACCTGGTGAGCCCTCAACTGAATTTCTTCTGATGACAGATTATCCATGATGAATTAAAACTCTTGATAGACACAAAAACTGGAATGTAGATATTCTGTAAGAATAAGGATACAAAAAAAAAAAAAAAATCTGAGCAGAATATGGACGTTTAGATATTTATCTGGAAAATAGGATAAAAGAGTCTCTCTCTCTCTCTCTCTCTCTCTCTCTCTCTCTCTCTCTCTCTCTCTCTGGTGAAGAAACTAAAACTGAGAGAGGGTAAATGGATGCTTAAATGCTAGTTAGTACCAGAAGTGAACCTAAAACTCAGGTTTCAGAACTTCTAGTGAAGTGCTGTTTCTAAGAGTGAGTGGTCCCTCTACATTGAGAAGAAAGGCATTACTAGAACACAAGCTTTAAGAGATTATTCAAATAAATTTTTGGTTGTACAGTGTTCATTATACATTGTTTGAATATGGAAAAGTAGTAAGGTGAAGTGGGCTAAGTTAGGCAGTGGGCTAAGTTAGGCAGTGTTCCATCAGTAATGTAACAAAATTCAGTCATATTCCCAAATAACACAGAAAATATTCTAAAAATGTGCCAGCTGTCCAGGCTACTCATTAGAGAAAATTAAATATTTTCATTCTTAACAAGAAGAGAGTAATCTTGATGTAAGAGCCCAGAAAAGAACTAAGGTTTTTATTAATACTAGACTCATCCTTTCCAATTACTATATTGTTTATTGTTTTAGTAAAGTCATTAAGAAACAGAACAATTATTCTCCTATATACAATAACTCAGAAAGAGATCTCAGACATTCAAACTAAAAACATAAATAGATGTTATTCAGTACTACTGTTATGTATGTGGAGTCCTGTGGAGTAATAAGCAATGTGTGACAGATCTACGCTGTTTTCTTTCTTTTTTTCATTTTTATTGACTTTTTATTTTTATTTTTGAGAGAGAGAGAGAGAGGAAGGGAAAGGGAGAGAGAAAAACATCAATTGGTAGCCTCCCGTATGTGCTGACTGGGGATCAAATCCGCAACCTGGGTATGTTCCCTGACTGGGAATCGAACCAGTGACCCTTCAGTGCAGAGGACAACACTCCAACCGAGACACATTAGCCAGGGCTATTCTATTTTCTTTTCATTACATTTGCTAGCTTTGTATTTTTGAAAACTCATTCACATTTTGGATTTGCCCCAGGGGAAATTTGGCAAGGTCTGGAGACAGTTTTTGATTGTCACAAGCTAGGGTTGGGGGCAGTATTACTGGCATCTAGTTGGTAGAGGCCAAGGATGCTGCCAAACATCTTATAAAGTACCTTGGGACAGCCCCCCAAAACAAAGAATTATCTGGCCCAAAATATAAACATGCTGGGTTTGAGAAATTCTGCCATGGAGTACACTTACAGATAAACAGGGAATCTAGGTACCTGGCAATGTACTAGACTGAACTCTTCTTGTGTTATCTTCGTATTTCTAACACCTAACAGGATCTAACAGTTAGTACTCCAGGAAATGTGTGATGAATGAACAAATTAGAGAAACAAGGTGTACTCTAAGTATTTCAGTGGACCTTAGAAACAAAGCTACATGTAATGGTAGCACAAAGCCTGCAAATAACCACTAGAAGCACAAACCAAAAACTGTCATTATATGCATGGTCTGAAATGGCCTGTTGGTCACATATAAATATTTTTAGTCACATTCATAGCTAACCAACATTAAAAAAAATTTTTAATGTGTTTTTACTGATTTTTTTAGAGAGAGGAAGGGACAAAGAGAAACATTAATGTGAGAGAGAGAGAGACTGATCGGCTGCCTCCTGCACACCTCCTACTGAGGGGGGATTGAGTCCACAACCTGGGCATGTGCCCTGACCAGGAATCGAACCAGTACCTCTTGGTCCATGGGACGATGCTCAATCCATTGAGTCACACCGACTGGGTTAACCAACATTTTTAGTACAATAGTTTTTGATAAAACAAAAATGTGACAATATTACTATATTCTCAGTACAGGAATGTTTAAAATTCTCATAGCTCTTCAGTTTTTTATATTTTAAAATATATATTTTTATCCTCACCCGAGGATCTGTTTATTGATTTTTTGAGAGAGAAAGAGGAGAGAGAAACATTAATTGGTTCCCTTCCATATGCGGCACCACTGAGGATCGAACCCGAAATCTTGGTATGTGCCCTGAGAGGGAATCAAGTCTGCAACCTCTTGGTGCACAGGAGGACACTCTAACCAACTGAACCACCCAGCTGGGGCTGCTCTTCAGTTTTTTAAAGTTTAATTAAGATTTTGAGCCTTGATTAAAGCTGTTAATCCTCATGAAAAATAATATCACTAGTTATTATTATTGCAAAAAGAGGAAAATGTAATTACATATGTTGATTGCCATAATAGGACTGTGGTGCTGGCAGAAGGTTCATATTCTAAGATATAAAGGCTTTTCTTAAATTAAGAACAAATCATTCATTAGATATAATCATTAATAGAACCACATGCTTTAAGTACTTGCTAATTGTTTATGAGCCTTTAGCTTTATCACATACATGTTCATGCTACAGTTTTTCTTTTGTCAATCTTTTGTAGTTACAATTATGAAAAGAAAAAAGAGTTGCTTTTGTACCCTCTCATCTTGATTTTTGTGACCTTTCCTTTCTGTAACACTCTTATCTCCTGCCCAGGCAGCCTCATGCTTCTCCATCATTTCCTAAAGCCCCAACAAGATATTTTTCAAAGCATGTCCTTTCCAGGCAGTATGTTCTAAAGTTATCTATCCTTCTCAGAGCCCATGAGAGTAGAAAGTGGTAAAAAAATAATAATAATAATAATAATACACACTAATCAATTAGTGCCTGGAAATGACACCCTAGTCAGATTTTCTGATACAGTATCCTGTGAGTAGAAAGCCATTTGGGGAGTAAGAAAGTCCAGATCTTTCAAACTGTATTATTTTGTAATTTTACCCCTGGAAGTGATTCTTGCCAATTACAAATCAATATCTGCTATCTTCCGATGAAAAAAAGACCAAAACTCCATGTAGGTTCAAAGAGAGGCTTAAATGCAAAACTGACCTCTGTCAAATTTGAAGATTTTAAGAGTCCTACTTTCTAATTATATATATTTTTTAAGAAGCATATGTAGCTAAGAGATATATGTGAACAGTCACTATTGCCATGGCAACAGGGATTTTTTGAAGAACATACCCTTTCAGTGAACTCAAAAGTGCTTCCTAGTACTTTTTTTCTTCCCTGAGTAGATGACACACAGGACAAGAAACAGACTTCTGTAAAAGTTTTACTTGTTTGGCAGGCTGACATCAGGACACAGGAAGCTTTCTGAGACTTCTCTACTCTGGATTCTTATGCGTGTTGAGCGCACAATTATAGTACATAAGTATAAGAGAGATAAAAGAGAATTGTAAGGGGAAGAACAAAAACAGACAAAGAGCCCAGCCCGGTGTGGCTCAGTGGACTGAGCGTCGGTCTATGGACTGAGAGGTCCAGGTTCGATTCCTGGTCAGGGCACATGCACAGATCGACGCTCAACCACTGAACCACACTGGACAGGCTATTTCATAGGTTGTTAAAATGAGGATTAAAAAAGATAATCCACAGACTTCTGGTCAAGATGGCAGTGTAGGTAAGTGCTATACTCACCTCCTCCCACAACCATATCAAAATTACAGCTAAACTACAGAACAACCATCATTCAGAACCACCTGAAATCAAGCTTAATGGAAGTCCAACAACTACAAAATTAAAGAAGAGGCCACATGGAGATCGGTAGGAAGGGCAGAGGCGCAGAAGTGCTGGCCCATCCACATGTGGTGGATAAAAATCAGAAGGGATACCTCAACTATAAAGGTCTTGCCTGAGGAGCAAGGGGTTCCAGTGCCAGGAATAGAAGTCCCCATAACTTCTGGCTGTAAAAACCAGCAGGAATTGTCCAAGCAGTGTGGCTCAGTGGTTGAGCATCAACCCATTCACCAAGAGGTCGTTGGTTCGATTCCCGGTTAGGACACTGACTAGATTGTGGGCCAGATTCCCAGTGGAGGGCATGCAGGAGGTGGTCAATTGATGTTTCTATCTCTCTCTCCCTCTCTCTCCAAAATCAATAAAGGAAAAAACAAACAAACAAACAAAAACAGCAGGAATTGAGGCTGCGAGAGACTGAGGCTGCTGGAGTTCCAGGCAGTTACTCTTAAAGGGTCTGTGCATGGACTTACTTGGATTTGCTCCCTACAGGTTCCAGCGTGGAGGAAGAAGCTTGAAAGGCACCAGAGACATACAGGGACGAGCTGAATTCTCTGGCAACAGGGTGAGAGCTGGGACTCCAGCAACCTGGCTCACACTGTTTTCCCTGTCCTGGTGATACCCTGAGGCCCTGCATCACCCAACTTTTGGGCCCACCGAAGCCGTTTCCGGTAGGGCTTTACCATAAGATTGGCCTGTCTTGGCTTCTGTTTCAGATTTTCCTAAATTCTCTCAAACAAACAGCATCTAGCTTCAGACAGCCCCATACCTCTCACTAAGTGGCCCCAGGCCTGGCACTAGAAGCAACCAGCCTTGGTTCACAGCTTGGTTTTGCCTGGGCACCTCCAAGTCCAGCACAAGAATCAGCCATCTGCAGGTCACTTTGTATCTTATACCTGGTGGCCCCAGGTAGAACACAGGCAGTGGCTGACCCTGTCCCAGAGCCAACACATTCAGTGGACAGCTTCAGACCACGTCAAAGTACCACCACCCAACTACCTCCACAAGCGACACGCTCAAAAATTGGACTCACTGGGTACAAAAGCCCTGCTGAAGTAAGGCTTGCTCTGTGTGGTGGGCCCCTGCCCAGATGATCCTCCAAGGGAGTCAGAGGTCAGTGGTCAGTGGGCATAGCCAGTCCTTGCAGCTGAAAAGCCTGAGTAAATCCCTCCCACTCACATGCCAACAGCAACCAAGACTCAATTACATCAGAAAGGTGTACAGTCCACACAAGGGGTGCATTTCGAGGGCCCAGCTGGAGTGGTTAGTGAGGCTGTGCCACTGGACCCTACAGGACATCTACTACAATAGGCCACTCTACGATGCATAGGAGATATAGCAACT